ACGCCCCCCGCCGGCTCGCGCTTTGGTGAGGCGCTGAGTGCCTTCGGCTGCCTGATGCGCCCGCTTGCCGCTTCGGTGACTGACTAAACGCACGCAAAGGAGATTACCTTCAAAAGGAGGCTCTCTGGGATAGCGGCGTGTTTTTGTTTTCTTCCTCTCGCCCCCGCTCCAGTGACTGACTTAGTCGGTGCGCTTGCCCGGACTGAGGTGTTAACCATGGCACAGACCGGCCCGTAGGGTGGATGACCTGTGCGTCACTCGCGCGCTCCTGGGAAACGCTTCCCTATGCTGAGGCTCCGGTGCTGTCAGCCAGTGGCCTCCCTGTAAAAGTGATGAAAATGCAGTTTCTCCGTGCTCTTTACCCTGAAACGGCGATTTAAAAAAAAACAAACCGTAGGGTTAATGATTCTGATCGGCAAAGAAGGCGGCCTAAGATAAGTGGATGTACTGGTTAGTGGAGAGCCGTGTAATGCAGAAGGAGATGAATGGTGAAATGTAGCCTCACACTGTTCGTCTGTGTTCCTCTATGTGGAAAGCAAACACTTAGCAATGAAGGGGGAAAGCCGGTGCATGGGTCGTTCGTGTTAAATACTGCAGAGCATGTGACTGAACGTGGTAGGCAAAGCTCTAAGCAAAAGAGGAGCTGTGAGGGCAAAGTAGGTGGATGCAGAAATATGCTCTTTTAAGTAGTGTATAACAAGGTAGCGTATAACAAAGATTCTCTTTGACATAAGAGGTATTATTTAATTTTCACAAAAAGTTAGAAGAAAATCACTTGTGTGCCTCAATCTTCTTGTTGAGTTCTCACTCTATATTATTGATTGCACGAAAGCTCAAGTTTGCTTTGTGACCGTTCAAAACATCTGTATATTTACAAACGTAGATCTGGGCCTGAGACACTGTATGGCTGAGCATTTCCTTATGCAACAAGTCTTACTGAAATCAACAGGGAATAATGATATCAGTAAGAATTGCTTGTACCACTCATGGTTTCACTTTAAAAAGTGACTGTTTCTCCGGTATGCTTGATACCAAGAGTAAAAGTCAGGCTTTTGGAGAGATTTGCTGTGGCTAACACTTGTGATTTCTTTAATAGCTGTCGCAACAACATCCTTCCTAGCAACCCTACATACATTTTACCTTCCCTAAAGTTCCATCCAATTATTTGCTGGGTGAAAGGGAAGAATGGCATGGTGTTGAGGGAAATCCTTCTGTCTTTGGAATGCTTCTCTTCTTCAGAACCAACTTTGTTTCCTTATCACTGTGCCGCCTATCAGTTTTAGCAGCTGAACCATTCTGCCATGCTTTAGGGCCCTTTTGAGTCAACGCTAGGGCGTGCTTAGTAAAATGCCATTGCAGATGTTGAATTCACGGCCTCTAATTATGATCCATACATTAAGATTTGTAGGTCGCCTAAATTGCAGAGCAATATTTTTTGGAACGGCCTTTAAGGGATAGATGTTAAAGCTGTGTTCTTGTAAAGAGCAGAAATGCAATAATTACCTTAAATCCCCAATCATTTTTAATTATTCTCATCAGACCTCCACTGACTATAGCGCTAATGTCTTTCTCACTGCTGTCCTTGAATTCCAAAGTAGTGCTTTGTGCTTCTTGCCACTTGTTATAATCACCCGGAATGTAGAAGGCACCAGCATTCAATCAAAATGCATAACAATGAACGAAGCATTCTTAACTTCGTGCTATAGGTGCTTGCATAAATAAATAGAAGGACAAGGGAGACAGTATTTTCCCTCTGAAACTCTTTCAGAACTTGTGTGTTACAAGTGTTAACTGTCATTTGAAAGTTGCCAGCAGTAGATGTATCTGAAGGGTTTGGTTGCTTCTCTCCGTTCCTGATTTTTTTTTTTTTTCCCCTCTCTTTAATCACATTAGAAGTTTTGGAAGAACTGCCAGAAACAAGTGGGAAAACAGCACGGCGTTTCTTCTTTAATTTAACTTCCATCCCTAATGAGGAGTCTGTCACCTCAGCTGAACTCCAGATTTTTCGGAAACAGGTGCACGGAGCCTCTGAGAACAACAGCAGCTACCATCACCGTATTAATATTTATGAAATTATAAAGCCAGCCACAGCCACCTCTAAGGACCCTGTCACAAGACTTTTGGACACCAGGTTGGTGCATCATAATGCAAGTAAATGGGAAAGTTTTGATGTAACGCCAGCTGTAATGAGGTGGATTGCACATGGACAACCTAATCATGGGTTTGTGGTAGAGGTGGTTCACTTGGACAAAGAGAACAGTGCCTCCAAGAGGCACGTTAGGATTAGCAGGTCTTTACATCAGGATGAAGATAGCTGGTCTCAGCTCAGGCCATTATTAGTAACGTTTGGGCATGATGGCAAGGGACACCCGCTTCATAAAAGAGAAAAGCGTCAAGTGAAACACAAACAGCGTAAACGCCACAAATACAGTTGCAAAAGGCATCCGTTATATGTGGACTTCAATGATGTGGGGTGGAATGACTGGATTGTTGCCCCACCGGGGTATAGTGCCTTTTACTGCCATGGGGAATGTCCTTTTCCACTGGCAGATCATCTAAACTCAACAAACCATGCCATTGTTCAGACTTTGGTCAATTCAGTGAATTCCAAAATCCCTAAGGCTTGCTGTGTGCCGACAGAACTGAGTGCTATTTCCATGCTCTACCTTGATGAGAATGAAAAAGTTGTATTAAAGAACTATCAAGATATGGTTGTGGAGGGTTGTGGGTGCCGCTAACACAGCAGATATATTAGACAAATACAAAAAAAGCTGACACTTTAATATTTCCCAATGAAGACTTTATTTATGTAATGAAATGGAAAGAAAAAAAAAACACAACTATTTTGAAAATATATTTATGTCTACAAAAAGTTGGGAAAACAAATATTTTAATCAGAGAAATATTCCTTTAAAGATTTTAAATGTATTTTAGTTGTACATTTTATATGGGTTTAACCCCAGCACATGAAGTATAATGGTCAGATTCTTATTTTGTATTTATTTACTATTATAACCACTTTTTAGAAGAATAGCTAATTTGTATTTATATGTAATCAAAAAGAAAAAAATATAGGGTTTGTACATAATTTTCCAAAATTGTAGCTGTTTCAATTGTGTGTATTTAAGTTGAAAAGAATACATGGAACGTTACTATGGCAAAGTGCATAGCACATTTGCTTTCTGCTGTGCTACTGTTAAGGTCACAAGTTCAAGTCCAGAAAAAAGTGGATAATCCACTCTGCTGACTTTCAAGATTATTATATTGTACAATTCTCAGGAATGCTGCAGGGTGGGCTGTCCAATCCATGAGAACTGGCATCCTCTTTAGGTGGAAGATTTGGATAAGAACCAGACATTGCTGATCTAGTATAAATACTGCTATTCCCAACTAATATGCAGTGTGAATATAAGAAAGGCCAATAGAAATCCTAGGGGAGGTATGGGGGGGGAGGGGACTGAATCCTTTCTAGACCTACAGAAAAGTGAATGTTTGCTGTTTCCTTTAAAAGTCCTTCCTTTAAAAGTCCTGGCCAAATATAAAATAATAAAAATTAAAATGTCATCATTATTTTTGTCACTATCTATACTAAAGAGGAATAATTATCTTATTTGTACTGGCCTGTGTCTTTAACAGTTGGAAAAAATGTTTTATACTTCCTTAGCTCACTTCTGTGGAGTGCTATAGTGAAATTAATCTCCAGTTTTTGCCCTACGTACAGCAAGGTGTTGTCATATGCAGTCTCCTATCTAACCTCAGCTGACAGTTTTGCTGTTTTGCGGATTAGCTTGTCTTCCTTTCCAGGGTTTTGTGTTTGAAAGCGTTTTTTTCTTTAAATATTTTTTAAGATAATAAATCGTAGAACTCTGGTATTTCTTTCTGAAAAGTGTAGTCTGTAAGAAAAAAATGGTTCACTTGTGCAGTAGTCACAAGGATAACCTGTGTTTGCATCTTTCTCTTTTTCAATTCTTCGTATAAAGGGCAAAAGCATGATTTGCAGTTGGAAATCACAGCATTAAAGTTAATACTTACTGTGCACATGGTACATTACAGGACTGGCGTGGCAGTCTGCTAGTAAGCTGTAAAACAGGGGGTGAGAACACTGAGCCTGGGTTGCTTGTTGCATGGAAGTTGTGCCAAAATAGTAGAATAGCAAAGCAACTTAAATTGGCTTCTTGCTGATATACTACAAAGTGCCTGAAGCCAGAAGCAAAGTGAAGTCATGTTAGACTACTAGTGGTAAGTTCTTGCCTATTCCAGGAGCTTTCAGCTGTACCTTGTGAATATATAGTGACTCTGTGCTCTTAGCCTCCGGAGGTGTCAGAACCCCCTTGTGCTCCCTTGTGCCCTGATAAATGGATCCAAAACTGGACTTTGATGAACTGAGTAATCCCTGAAAGCCGTACGTTCGCTTGTCTGTCTACAGGTCCTTTCTAAATCACCTTCTGGAATATCTGATTCTGGCCTACTTCTGGCTAACCTTTTATTAATACCAACCTTCTCCTCTTTCCCATGGCCCTTCCCAAGCTTCTCCTTTTTGCCAGACTCCTCTGGGCTCCAGTGAAGGTACTAAATAGGTTTGTTGATCAGGAGGACTGACTTGATGATCTCTTCCTTGGCTGCTAATCATCAGAAAAAGCAATTGGTAGAGAAGATAGGAGAGAAAAATGACAGTAGTTTCCTGTTGGTTGCTTCCATTTCTCTTGTGAGCTTAAAAATATTTTAGGCTAGCTATAAGCTTCTGTGGCAAGATAAAGCTTAATATATTATTTGTACCAGCAGTATTTTCAATAGCTAACAGAGCAAATCACCGCTCTGCAGTTTGGCTTTGTTTATTTTTGAGAGATAGCTGACATTGTCATGCTGATGCTAGATAGTAGCCTACAAGCTTGCTGGGTGGACAACCTCCTATTTAATTTTTTGAAATACCAGCACTGTTTTCTTGGCCATTTTAATGTTTTTACGGTGGCACTTTCTCTGTGTAGAATTTTGGTTTGCCCTTTACTTATTTAAAAGGGCACTCAGGTTTCATTGGTGGTGAGCGAGTTTACGGCCGTTGTCAGCAGCAGGCTCTGCCACAGTGAAGGTTCTGCAAGAATTCGTTGCTTATTTGCAATGTATAGTTGTTCCGGTCGAGTCACAGCAGCGCTAGAGTACTCTATAACTTGGACCTGCAGAAGCTAGGCATAAAGTGCTGAAAAATGCAAGACTGCATCATTTCTATGAGCAGGAAAGGTAGGATCCCAAACCTGCTGAAGTCACCGAAGACCCCATGGCACTTCTAACCAGATCCTAAATTCTGATGTTGCTGGGCTTAAACTTCATGGCTCCTAGCTCATCATATGTAATAGATTGAGGAAGTCTTTTTAGAGAGTGGCGATTGCTTTACTTCTCCTCTAAGGCATGAGAACATGTTGATGCTAATTTTGTTTTAAAAAAATTGGCTATGGCGCTTGTCTGTGGATGAGCAGTAGCTGGCTTATGGCATGATGCTGCATTCCTTATGCAAGCAAACCTCCTGTTGCTTGACAAAGAATTGCATCCTTAGTAAAATGCACTGTGAAGCCAGTGTTTAATTGTAAACATAGTAAGACTCACTCCTGTGAGCATTTCTGTACCTGCTTAGTGTTAGTCACAGAATTGTCAGTTCCATACAGAATTTGAAGAGGAAATAGGCATGCATCAATAAATTTCTGCAGAATTGGCTTCGTAATGTGTCCTTTTAAATCCTTAACCCCTTAACCCTTAAACTGGAAATGTGAGTATTGCATTGAAGAGTTTGTTTAGGTTTAAAAAAAACAAAAAACACGAAAAGCGGTTTTGTGTATTTTTTAATGTGAATAGTGGAAGATCCTCATAGAGATTAGTTGCGTTATGTTCCTGAACTCTGCTGAATAGTATTGATGATCAGAGAGCCCTCCTGAAAGTTTTGGGCTTTCTGTCATCTTCAAAGTTTGGTAACAGCTGCTAAATAGTCCTCCATACCAGGGAGAGGAAAAAAAAAAAGGCAGTTACTGCAGTACTATCAGTACTCTGGTGCTTACTTTAGTACTTATTAGTGTTCTAGGGCTCTACAGGAAGAAATGAATGTGTTTTTTTTTTCTTTTGTCTCAAAAGAAGAGAATGCAGAAGATCTATCTATAAGACAAAACTACCTTTGTTACCCCATAACCTGTTTCTCCTAAACATGTTGCTTCTAGGCACTTAAATAATCTATATAGGCAGAGATTGTGATAGATAATGTCACCCTTTGTGCATTTCAGATAAGCATCTCTCTAAACACAAATGTGATCAGCATCTCTTCTTGTCCTTTTGAGACTCAGTAACAGCTTTGTCGAGTGGCTTGATAATTTTTGCGCAAAATACAGTTGGACTGCTGTGGTCAGCAACATATAAAAATGACGTGGGAAGATCTTCAGTTGAGGTAAGCTCTCCTGAGAGCATTGGCCATTTCACCAAGCAGGGTCTGCTCTGCTGTGCTAACTTGGGCTCATCATGATCAGGCACTGAGACCTTTCCTGCTCATGTGTTAGTTGGGCTTGTGAGTCCATAGCATATCACCTGCTTTTCCCCCTGCTAGGTAGTTAGTAGCCTTTCATTTGTGCAGTCTGTACTGATGAGGCTTGGAGAGGAACATTATTTGTTTATTGTACTCCCAGCTCTGAAGAAGGAGCTCATCTGGACTACATTTGCATTACTTTGCTGTGCTACTAGAAGAGAATAATTATTGAACTATTTTATTGTACAGCTATTCCTAAATTGTTGATTTGGGTTTATTTTTTTTTTATTGATTTCAGGAGGCAGCTAATTGCCATATGGCAGCTTGATGTTAATGTTTTATGAAGATCAGGAAACAAAAGTTTATGAAAAGCTTTTGTATAGTAACTGCAGAGTTTCAAGAACTGTTTTATACTTCCTGACAGTGCAGGTCTGGCTTAATGGTTTGTTTTTATTGCTTAAGAGTGTAAACCTTTCTTTAGCCGATGTGTGGAAATTATATCCTCATCCCGCATTACGCATTTCTCATTGCTCATTACTCATTCCCTGCTTTCATTTCTGCCATCTGTAATCAGAGCTTTACTGTTTCAACTGCATGCAAAATGCTCCTGTCCTTTGCACACAGTAAGATACTTTTCCTTAGCACTCACCCACCCCCTTCCAAAAAAAAAAGAAAGGGGGGGGAGGGGGAAGGAAGGAGGGGAAAAAAAAGAGAAAAAGGAAAAGCCTACTCTGTCTATATTGTTTTTCTCTGTTTTGGGTGGAGTCTGTCTTAGATTCTGGTTGCTAGATGGTTTCTGTAGTAACAAGCAGAGAAAAATTCAAGACTGAAAAGGCACTTTTAAAGGTGCCATATCTTGCCTGAAGTATTATTTATCTAATTATGAATATGGAATGTTTCTCTTCTCTTTCGTATTAAGGCTACCTTTTCCCTTTTGGTAGGGCAGACTGCTGCTATGAGACCTTGATTTGTTGTGTTCTTACAATATGAGGACATGAGAACCACGAATCTTGTTCCCAGTTGACTTAAGCTGCTCAAAATAATGATGAAAAGCCAAAGGCATTAAAATGTATTTTTAAAGACGTAATAAATGGTTGTTACAGGCACAGACCACTTTGTTTGTTTTTTAGTTACGTAGGAAAGAAAAAAGAAGCTAGGTTCAGAGGGATATTTGGAGTTTACGTGTTCTTGCTGTAAGAGAAGTGTTGGATGAAACTGACAGTCTTTTATTTTGTTAAATTACTGTGTAAAAGAAAATATCATAGCTCCTTCATAACATATTTTTATGCTGCTGTACTCCACATCTTTTGTTAATTTCTCCCAAGAGATTTTGCAGGTGTATTAGGAAGTAAAAGTTTGTATGCATCTACACGTTTGACTTGCTTGGGCACAAAAAGGATGAGAAAATTTTTGAAGGTTGGTTCTTTCTTGTCTTTCCAGTACTAATCCTTCATTACCTGTATCCTTGACAGCTGTGTCTGCAGCAAGCAGTAATGATTTCCTGAGGTGGAGTTTCCTCTCTTTTTGGAATCTAATCACCTGGTGGTGCCCTCTGGGATCTAGCACCCTTCAGTCCACAAGCTCTGTGCAGTGGCCACTTAGAAAAGCAGGTACACTGCTTTTGTCCCAGTTCTGTGTTCTTTATGGAGGCAATTTTGTCCCTGCCTTCAGTTGTCATCTTAGCTTGGTAAGAGTCTGATGGTCTGGACCCACCGCATGCAGCAAAAGGTGCCTCTAACACCAGGGACTGAGTTTGTAAGTTGCCAGAAGTCTGAGGGCCAAAGCTGATTTGCATCTGTATTTGCATAGTGCTGTGAAGGCGCTCGGCTGTAATACCTGCCCGGGCTTGTATTGCCCTCGATAGATGAGCAGAGGCTGAGAGTTGTCCGACTTCTCCAGAGGTATGAAACTTGCAGTGGGTCATCTGGGTTCTCAGCTTATAAGGCAAGGGAGCAATTAGATGTATTTTTGCTCTTCAAAGTTCATTCTTGTAGGGACTTCTGCAAAATATGCCTGGCTGTCAGTATAGAAACTAGACCCAAGCCATGGGGTTAGACATGCAGTTGAATACATTGGCCTAACCCTAGAAAAGCAGCAGATCTATGGCTGTTAAGTTTGAAAAGAGGCAAGGATTTTTGTGGGAAGAAGTTTGAGGTGAAAGAAGTGGAGAAGGAGGACACATGAGCTTTTGAAGTTGAAAGTGTTAATTATGTCTGAAGTGACTTCAGGTATAAAGATCAGAGCAGCAAATTGATAACAGTCTGAAAGTTCAGGTTCCCACACCAGCTGGACTGTGGCAGATTTATAGTTTAATGAGGCTGCTAATCCCATTAGAGATTAAATTAAGAAGGTCTTTCTGGGAGATCACCAAAAAAACTATGAATATTGTACTGTAGCTTGAATCGTAATGCTAAGGCAGCGGAGAGCTGACATGTACTTACTGAACTGCAGGATACTGTTTCATTCAATGTGTCTCGTTGAAACAAGGCATTCAACTCCAGCAGTGTTTCACTACAAACGGAGGCAAATGTATTATTATTATTATTACTGCTACTATTACTATCATCATCATCCTGTAAACAACATGCAGATTAAAAGATGGAAATATCAACCAGATCTACAAATCAGCATAGCTCTATTGACTTCATTCTCAGATAAACTGGTCCTTTTTATTAAAGCAAATCCTCAGGAGGCAGGGAGAGCGCATATAAATATAATGTATTTAAGGTAACTATTGATATAACTCCAGTAGCTTGGAACTTGCACAAAAACATTTTTTATGGCATCCTGCACACCCTAGTGATGGGAAAGTGCTCTATGGAATAATGACTCTGTAACCACAGACTTCAAAAGTATAGAATGTCTGCGGCATGATGGAAATAGCTGTTTCCACATCAATAATATACACACAGGCGTATTGAAGCTTAATTGCAAGGCCAATGGTGATGGGAGGGGGAAGGGGGAGGGGATATCTGACGACGGCTGCACCAAACATGCAGGCTGAGCAGAATGCCTCTGCTTTACAGGCAGAAACAATGATTCATTTCATTATAATCTTGACTTTTGCATTTTTCTCATGACTTATTGATAACTTTGTATGGGACTTCATAGACCAAAGGAGTTATTGACTTGGTAGGAATTAGGAAGTGAGAGAGGGCATATATTATATCTTAAAAACATCGGACTCACTGACAATTGTTTTCATTATTCTACTTAAGGACAATTCTGACACATTTTTTCTCCTTGCATTTTCTCTTTTCATTTGCATGAAAAGACGCTGTACTTGAAAGCAGGCTCCCACTTTAACAGCCCAGCTTTTTTGTTTGTTTTTGTGAAAAATCCTAATCCCCTAGTTGCCATCATAGTATTGACATGAAGGCAGTTTTGATGTCACAAACTGTTGCTGTTGGACCAGGTCCTAATGCATATGGAGGCCCTTTTCCCAGTCCTGACAGTATAAAGGGGCCTTATATAAATAGGAAGTGGGCCCAATAGCTTTAAGTGAAAAATGAGGTTGCGTTCTGCAAAATATTACTTGCGTTATTGATACCCTTTTATTCTTATTGTTTAAGAGATAGATTACTGACATTGTAGGGATGTTGTCATTTTTCTTGGTACTGCTTTCAATGTACAGACTATTGGCAATTTGCAGGACTCTCTCAAGGCTTCCACTGCTGGAGTCCTGTGAGTATACAATGGAAGCTGAGATTCTTGAAAAGAGAATTTCATCACACTCTCTGGGGAGAAGTCTCAAAGTGTAACCTTGAGACTCAAAAAATCAGAAGCAAATAAAATCAAAATTCTCCTTTAAAAATTTTTTTTAAAGCCACTAGTGTTTTTAAAGTCCATCAACATTTTTGATTGCTTAGGATTAGCGATAACCCGTGTTCTAGGTACTGTTACCATTGAAGGGAGGATCAAAGACGGATTTTTGTTGATTTTTTTTTTTTCATAGTTACTTATTAACTACTTTTTGACACATTGGGCAAAGAATTTTTCTGGGTTTGCAGACAAAAAGATTTTCATCTTTGAAAATATAACCCAAATGTACCCTAGAGGGCAGAGTCATTTAGAGAGAGATTCTGCACACCTGCTGAATTACTGATTCATGCCCACTGCAGAGTTACGCCGTTAGAAGGACCAAGGCCTGAGAAACTAGAGTTGGGAGAGTGGGTGGTGCCGTCTGGTTTTTGTCGGTAGTCAAGATTAAGAGAGTGATCTGTAACTCTCCTTGGTGCAGGTTCTGAAAAAAATTTTTACTTGAAAAAAAAAAAAAAAGTCAGTAGTCTGTGAACAACTCCCTACAACCCAGCAGGCCGTTCTGCTGTTAGCTGACTATTACTGTTCTTGCCTGCTGGAGAATTTTGGTCCTTTTGTGAGATTTAGATTTAATTTTCAAGCAGAAACAGTCTAACTAGTGTTTTATATCAAAGAAAATAAACAAGGTGCTGCTCTTTCCAAGAGCCACCTCCTCTTGAGACCTGAGCCATGTGGTGAGTTACTGCCAGCTTTTCCATCTAACTGGTGGGGAAAGTCTGTTGTCAGGCCCTTCTCTTTGAGCCCAAGTGTCTAGGAAGGATCTGGAAGGTCTTTCCAGCTCCTCTGGTACGTAAGTACTTCTTTCAGGGTTTCAGATTCCAGCCCTCATCCTTACCTCATTCATCTGAGGAAAAAAGGGTCAGATACTGGGACACTTCCTTGAAGAGTCTGCCTTTGCCAAGCTTTGGTTTTTCTCCCTTCCTGGAACTCTCATTATATGATCCTGCTTTTCTGAGCCAATTGTTAGCCCAAGGCTAAATCCTTAACCTTGGGCTAGATAACAAAAGCACAGCTGAGGTGATCTTGACCCCTTTAAAAGGGCTGTCTGCTCTTTGATGCACTCAGAACGAGACTCATAATTCATTTTCGTTCCAAAGGTTGTTCTTAGCATGGGAAATTAGCAACTTCCATGATAAAGAGTCAGTGTGGTGTGTGTGTGTGTTCTTTATGTTGATCTCTGTCTTGCATTGCACACCACATCCTGGTGGGTGTTGGTGTGTCTGAGGAGAACTCAAGATTGAATCCTAGCTGAGAAGCTTTACTTCATGCAACTGTTGCATACCTCCAACAACTGCTTCAGTTCATACTAAGGTCTAAAGACTTTGTGCCAGTAAGAGGAACTGGCATTTGGAAAACTTCAATATTCTAACTGGCAGCTCTAGATAAGAGGAATGTGTAGTCAGAGTGTCTGCTCAAGAGAAATTAAGCTGAGACCAAGTTTATCAATGGATATCAAAGCGAACTTATTAAGTACAGCCCCCTGCTTGTGTGCCAAGACCCACGCGACATGAGAGAGGCGAGCACAGCGCTAATGTCATGCACAGTACTATGTGCAGAAGCTTTTCTATCTACACAGTGTGGAAGCCTCTTTGACAGATCCTTTCTGAGCTTTTTTCTTTGGGAGAGGACTCCTCCAGCATATCCTTTGTTGTTGAAGTCTCTATTCGTGCTACGCTGAATAACTTTGAAGGTTTATTTTGTAACGCGGCCTAGCAAGTCTGATGGCAAGAAATGCAGTGTCATTGGTGGCTGTGGTCTCAAGTGTTATAAATGTGGTGGAATTTACAGCAAAGCTGATAACAAGACTAGATTTGGTAGCCCAGCCTATAAAAAGGAAATGCTGCTAATCAAATACTGCATCAGAAAAAAGGGACACTGCAGCAGCAGACCAGTAGTCTAAGGACGTGAGAGACAGCAAACCTTACTCTGTCATAGACTTCCAGTGTGCTCTTCAGAAAAGTCACTTTCTGTCTCTGTGTGCTAATTCCCAGATAGCTCTTCCCTGTCTCATAAGTGTTTCGTAATGATATGTACCTTAAAGAATTTGGAGATGCCCAAACATACTGCTGTTTGTGCTGTAGGGTAGAGATAGATAGCTATATTATATGGCATAATAACAGGTTTCATCTGTTGGTAACCAGTTTGCATGCGGACCAGGTCTGGCCAGTATTAAACTGGAGAGCAAAGATGGCTTTGTGATTAAGGTGCTGGAGTGAGACGCTGGAAATCTGGGTTCAAGTTGTGGGTCAGCCACAAACTCCCTGTGTGACCTTGAGCAATATAATTATTCTGAGACTTCAAAGGTATCTAAACAATTTGGACACCCATTTTTCCAGTCATTTTAATTAACTGGGATGCTTTGAAATGTTCAGCTTTAATCTCTCTGTGCCTAGGATTCTCATTTGTAAAACCAGGATAATATTTCCTTGCACATGAAGAAGATGTGTGTGTTAATGATTGGGAAGCGTGCAGCTCCTCAAAGTGCAGCAGATACTGAGCTTGCATGGAGCTTGGTGAGAGGGAAGTGTGTTGAGTTTTGCAGGCTTGGGATGCAAATACATATGGTATCGGGTTCAGGGTGAACTCAGTCTCTTTCAATGAGATTTGTTTACACATGGGCATAAACCAGGGGATGAATAGTTAGCATGATATATTACCATGATATTGGGCTCTTGGGGAGATAAATACCACTGTAAATAAACTGCAACCAAAATATTTACTGGGAGGAACAGCTCATTTATTCTGTATTTCATTTAGCTCCATAATAACATCCTGCCATTTCTTTAGTGTCCGTTCTTTAATAGTGAATATTAAACTTTTACAAGATAAAATGGCTAGTTATTAACGTTTCCATTTCTGTAGCTTTACTCCATAACAAGCCATACTCCCTCTTTAACATCACCTACGGTTATGTCCCTTTGCCCGGTGTTATGCGATTGTGTAATGAAAAGCCTGTAGTGCACACAGGCAGAGTAAAGAGTTAAAAGAGCCAAGAGGGTCTTTAATTCCTTCATTTTCTGACTTTTCTGGGTTTAGCACACAATCTTCACATTCCGTTAATAAGTGTTTGTATGATTTTTTTTTTTTTCCTTTTCACTTAAGAGATTAAAGGTTCCTTCAGAATTTACATCTCTTGCTACCCTCTTTAGTCATATTGATTTTGTACACTGGGCAGGCAGGAAGCAAAAAGCTATCATGAATAACCTTGATACTACTATCAGAGCTGAGTGTTTTGGTGTTTGAGATGTCTGTCCATGCGGTCTGCTATTCCAGAAAGGATGTCAATCAGGGAGGAAAAATATTGTGAAGGCCCTAGGATCTGGGTTCTCTCCTGGGTTCTTCACTGGCCCTTGAGGTGACCTTTCCCTTTCTGCGTGTTGGTTCGTAAAGTGCTTGGCAAGCTCTGCATGCAAAACACTGTACAGGTGTTGTTTCTGTTACGCACTGTGAGAATATCTGATTCTGCTTATTACACTGGTTATTGATATTACGGTGGTAAATATATGCTGAAATAAGGTTTTGCTATAAAATATGAAGGAAAGAAAAGGTTGCTACTCTTAAGAAGAGTTTGTGACTTCAATATGAATCAAATCAGAGTCGTTTTCACTGCTCCATGTATTGGCTTATTATAATGACTGTTTTCCAGACAAGAAATCTGACTCTCTCACTTTCTGTAATGAAAAGGAGCGTTTTCCTGGGATGGGGATGTTAACTCTTGAAGTAACCTGCTATTTAACATAAGGAAGTCTCAACTCTGGCTGTCAATATATGTTTTTCTCTTGAGATTTGCTTTTCAAAGCAACCATGAACTAAGTGCTTCTTATGTGCTGCCTATGTGCTGACACGTTTGCATGCGGAATAAGCGACTAAACATTTCTCTGTCTTATTCTAAGGTCGCTATTGCAAAAGTCTTGAATTTTCAATGGCAGATTTTCCTCTATGAGATTATAGTCAAAGAAGAGAGTGAAAACTGTCAGTTTGGATTTAGGGAGGCAGGTTTTTCTATTACTTTGATTTATTTTTTTGCTACATCAAGCAGATAAGAAATACTGACAAATAATTACTTCGTAATGTGTACAAGCAACTATTGTCCCTGAAGATTTTTTTTTCAGAAGA